TCCCACATTTTATCACCTTTTGCTGTAACACAGGATTTTAACCCAACTGCAGGAAGAAGGGAGCATCCACATAGAGAAAAAGAATGTGTTTTCCTAAAGTTTTAATAATTCCAGTAAGTGGTAGGGCGAATGCAGAACAGCATGGTAAATAAACTATACCTTTATTATCTCTATGTCCATTGCCAGTTTGCTCCAGATACTTTAAAAGTATTAAATATTTATAGATATTTAAAAGTATTAATTTAAAATGTTAGTTCGTGTTTCATAATTCAATTATGCTGAAATTACCATCTGAGAATTTCTTACAATGCTGAATGCAACTCTCTAAAATAATGGATTTTGTTTCATACAGGAAATAAGACTTCAGTTCAGAAACTGTATAGATGTGATATATGTGACTACACAAGCACAACTTACGTTGGTGTACGAAATCACAGACGAATTCATAACTCTGATAAGCCATATAGGTAAGTGTCTCAATTATTGCTGGCTAATGCCACGTGCTTGGTTTACTTGTTTTAACTAAAAAGGTTACTTAATTGCTCATGCAATTTTGAAAATATTGTTAAAGAATTTCAATTACATAATTTTACTGCAAATTTGAAGGAGCCACACTTGCTGGTTGACTCAAACTATGTAATTAAGATTTGCTAACTTTTCCAGGATGCGTCTTTTGCTATAGCAGTCTACTGCTTGTTTTCAGTTTGAAGCATTCAGAAGTGGAAAGGGAAATAATTACATAGTAATATTGAACTTTGGCCAACAGTAATAATATATTTCTCTAACTCCTTGCACACTTAAGTTCATTTCAGATTTGCTTTATTGCAAAGTGTTCTCCATTGTCATGTTGCTACTTTGCATATTGACTTCTACAGTGTGTGGCAAAATTCTACCCTTTTTCTTGTCGCCAGTCCCCTCATCTTTTTCACAGGTTTCAAACAATATTAACACACTCACTTAGGATCAGTTTTTATAACTTTTCTGCAAGGATGTTATATGGATTTATATAGAAACTTTGATATCTAAAATCACATGTAATACTATAGCTCAGGTCCCCAGCAGAAAAATAAATCATGCATTTTTCTGTTGGTTGCTGCATAAATTCCTGCAAATTCAATCTATGCTCATTCAGTGTGGATCTCTGTCCCTCTCTAGTGGCTAGAAAATAGATCTGAGTTAATAGAATTTTTGAGCTAATATACTTCTGTCTTTTTAATACAAATTCTGGAAACTCAATACCTTGAAATGCTGAGCTCAGCCAGGGACTTTCCCTTTTGGATAAACAAACCCAGAAGACGTGTTGTATTTTGATCTGTGCATTATAATGATGTCCCGTAACACTAGCAAAAACTTGCAAGACATTTGCTCAGAGAGCAAATGTGGAATACAGATAGACTTTTTTTCTCCTCAGAATCTTCCCTGTTGCTGTGATTTGTTACTTAGTGGGGCTGGAACAGCAGATACTGTAGAGTGTTTTGTATATGGTAGTTTTCTGAATTGGTGTTAGCCAGCCTGTTCGATTTAGGAACCCTTGAAAATTTTCCATTGGTGATACAGTCTGCTGTGTACTAAATTTAAGCCTACTGATCTGGCTTGCCTTTCTTACTATTTTTTCATAAACCATGTAGACAAATCTGCAGACCTGGTAGGATACTTAAGCCAGAACCTAAAAAACATAAAGATCCAGTATTTATGGTATTTCTCCTTCTGAAACATGTATTCCTCAAGCCTTTCATAGTATCAGATAGCAACCTACTATTTTGCTGCCATTTTTATACCTGTAAACATATTTTATTATTTGTTTGACAAAAATTGCTGGAAATTAAACTGTATAGCCTCCAATGATGCATTTTTGTAGATTTGATACCTTCTGGATTGTAATTGTACTGCACAATTGAGTCCTTTCAAAAATAGAGTAATCTCAAGTTAAGTATCCTGCAGTCTCAAACTGTTTCACACTATAGACCAGACTTAGTAAACATTGGACATTTTACCATTTCAAAAAAAGAAACAACTAAAGTCCTAATACATATGCAGAGTTTTAGCTGAGCTTGATGGCTTTTGTTTCAATATGTTTTATACAGGAAGCTTGTGTGGTAGTATATTGATATTTATGAATAGCATAGTATGTTGTGTAATACTTCGGGATCTAAATCCAGGGATCTAAATCTAGATCCAAACTGTTTTATGTATTGTTTTTATACAAAGATGTTGTGACAGAAGTAAAAAAATAAAAATTTAGACAGCATGATGTGACACACTTGTCTTAGGGCACTTGAATCTAAATGTGTTGATCTCGTCCCTGACTTCTATTTCAGGTAATATGCTCTGAAACTTAGACGTTTTATTACTAAATAGATAGTTTAGCTTTTAAAACTTAGATGTTTTATTACTAAATAGAAAGTTTAGCTTTTAGCTTAATGCAATGGCTGTTGCAGTAAGTAGAACACGTATTCTTGAGGAACAAGACTCATTTCTAAATACACTGTGTCCCCTATAGCTCTTATGGTCGTATTCTGCCTTTGCATAACATAGCCAAGCAACTTGCATCAGGGCTGCATCCATTCAAATGCATCCGCATCTCCCTTACACTTCGTGATACTTACCAACTTCAGTAGAGGTGCACAAGATAGATATCAGGAAGGAACGTAGTCCATATGCGTAGTGATTCTTGCTCAAAGGTGGAGGCTTTTTTGGGCTGCAAAAGATTCTCACGGTCCAAAAATTGAAAGTTAATGTCATCACTTGGACTTTTGTAAATATTGTTAGTCTTTAACTGTAGTCTTTCCAGATACCTTTGCTTTCTCATAGTTTTTTATTTCTGGAATAGTGTTAGCAGTTAATTGTCAGATTAGTTTACTTCTTGTTGTCTCTTTAGATGTCGAGTATGCGACTTCGCCACTACAAATATGAATAGCTTGAAATGCCATATGAGGCGCCACCCCCAGGAGCATCAGGCAGTGCAGCTAATGGAACAGTACAAGTATGTAACAGTTCTAATTTGGCAAAAAGCTGTGATAGCAGTGATTTTCTTATGTTAAGATACAAAGCAGAGTTCAGATTCTGTTCTTTTCCCTCCTAGATTCATACTTTGTTCCAGTGACTCTTTGGGGTTTTTTTGAGAGAGAGAGAGAGAGAAAGAGATTTGATGTGGCATTTCTAGGTGATGTTTATGCTAGCTCATTAAACACGTCCATGACCTCCCTCTGGTACAGCATTCAGCTTTTTCTTTCCAGAATGGGGTGGTTGCATATAAACTGCCTATTGCAAGTAGTTTCTGGACCATGTTAATTACCAAAGCATGCCTGGAATTGTTTGGGAGAATGCATGTGCCAAAACCATGCCAGGGGCACTTCTAACATTTAACATTACAGATTGTTAAATTCCAGTACCCAGGAATGTTCTCTGGCTTTGTTTAATATCCTAGTCTAGGCACAGCCTTTGCATATACATGTTAGTTAGAATCCAGATTGGCATCACACTGCCCTCGTTAAGAATTAGTATGAATAGTCATTATGTTTAAGTGAGGCGTTTCCTTTATAGTCTGTCCATAAATATGTGTGGGGGGTTTTTTATATATATATAAAAAAAAATATATATATATA